ACGATGTGGGATGTTACAAATGGATTCGACGATGAGTATTTTCCCTAATTCACACCCTCTTTTTAATAAAAAATGAAAAAAAAATAAACAATTAATCATATGACATCCTACATGAAGCTATTAACAAGGAATCCGGATCCTTCCCGGATTCTCTTTGTGAGGATCTCAGAGATCCGTAAATCTTGTTCATTCATCATACATCGTGCAATCAGAAATCAATTTAAATATTTTTATTAAAATTAAACACAAACAATACTTAACAAAAACTGACCGCACAATGTATAATGAACCAATACGATTCATAGATCTCTAAAATTATCACCAAAAGGATCCGGAGAGGATCCTGTTTGATTAACAAGCGTCATGGAGGGAGTAAGATGACGCAATATAAGAAAAATAATTTGTTTTATTTTTATATGTTTCACCGCTATAAAGGGAATTAGAACGTGACTAGTGGTTTTTTGAATTGAGTTCTCAAAGTGTTTTTGTATAAAACTTATAGTTCTAAGGGTGTTTGTTCTCATTTACTGATCTTATATAAAAGGTTAATGAAAAAGGATTACGATTGATTAAGACCATTCATCTTTGTACTTGAGATCTCTAGTTCAAACTCAAAATTATCTAAAACACAAAATGCATTTTCAAGTTTTTAATTTCTAATAATGCTAATACAACCAAAGTCGAGAACATATAATTAATCTAATCTCACAATTAATAAATACGATTGACCTCTATTAAACTCGCACTGATATAACAAGAGAAATGCTTAAGGGCACTTGCCCCTCAACCGAGTCCGAAAGGACTCTCCCTCCACGTAATAGTACTTCAAAAGTTAATGTATTGCGAGTTTGATTGTTATATTTTTTTCAAGGTAATGCTAGAGATACAATTTTTTAAAAACTTTAATTTTTGGGCCATATGACGCGGTTTTAAGTATTAATTCATTTGATTGTTTCTTATTAATGACACATCACATGGTACTAGTTTACAAATTTGGTTGGAAAATTAATCTACCTAGCATTATTTTTAATAATATTATGCCCTCTCTATACCTTCAACCTTTCTCCTTTCCAGAAGAACCAAACGTCTTTAAAATTTCAGTGGCTCTATCTCTCAAACCTTGAAATGTTCATGGCCGCTAAACTACCAAGACTCCATAAAAAAGAATAATCAAGCAAACCCAATAACTCATACTCCATATTTAGAAATTATCGTTGTACCAAGAACATGGTTCTTCGACCCAAAAACAAAAACAAAACAAAACATGTATTTACATCAATATTGGATCAAATTATCCAGATATTTTTATATCAAAGAGCATAAAGAAGTTACACGGAGAGATCCATAGAAAAATTAACAATTCTGTTTCATTGAAGAGAGTTGGTTTGTACTCCTTTATGGGATCGTTGTTAGTTCTCTCTATCTTCATCTTGCTCAGGATCGCAGAAGCCCATAAGACATTTGATGCAGACTTCTTCTGTTGTTTTTCGACAGATTAGTAAGTTGAACTTGATACGCATGGATCATCAGAATGTTCATTGACTATTATAGGATACTTCGAAGACGGTGTTGAAGGTGTTTTTGGGGGTAAAGATGGCGTGGTTGTACTAATCATCAGATATGCAACCACAGAAGATACTCCAACAATGCCTTTAACAAATATCTCCTGTATTTAGCGTGAATGTCCCGACCCTTATCTTTCTTCGAGAAATAGGAAGAAACTGAGCCAGCTTGAGTGAGATCAATTTCTGATCGTGCAACTGAGAATGCATGCATCGGCTGAGCTTCCATCCAAGCGACGGTTACATATCGCTTTAGCTATTTTGATCGATAGGGGCAAGTAGGAAAGCTATCTACAGGTTAATGTGCTTGGTTAGGCAATAACAGCAGCTCAGCTTCATCCATGTCATGGTGCTGTAAGATGGTCCCAGTCCCCCCAACTCTCAACGTGTGATAGATTTACGTCGATTCTTCTTGAAGTTGGCTTAATTGTGAAAGCTTTTCTTTGTTGGTTGAGTTTCCATCTGCCTATGAAGTCAGTGTCTTATTGACTACACTTCCTCTTGCATTTATTTTGGCTTCTCCAGCGCACTTGCTGGTGAGGGCATGTATTTGCACCTAGAGCAGTTCGTCAGATAGAGAGAAAGTTCGAGCAGCAAACCCATTTGGTGAAGAGGGAGGGAGTTGGGTGTACTTGGCTTTTGTAATTTCTGTTTGATATCAATGGAATTTCCTCGCCGTCTCTGAACTAGCTTTTGCGTGTTATTTGGATTTCTGAATTTATCATATTTTGCCTTGTTTTGAACAATTCCATGTGCTTAATGTGCTTGAAATTTGATTTGGTAAAGGATGTGACAGCCACCTGCTTGTGATATCATTTTGTAAAAAAGCATGTGGAGCAAAAATCTTGGAGAAGAAGAGTATACCCTGTATACGCTAGCAGATACATCCCCTCCCATAATACACATGCAGGCATCCTGCTTATGTTTTTTATGATTCGAGCGACGGTCCACATTAAACTAGTCTAACTACGGGAAGAGAGATTCAAATTTGTGTAAAGGTAAAGGGCATTGTTCTAACTAACTTGGCTTATCGCGTTTGCTTATGACTCACCTAAATGTTGTTCTTCTTTAGTTATGGGGGTTGCTCTTGTTTTGTGGTTAGGATGGGTGGGTAGTGATTTTCACGCTTTCATTTTCTCCTTATGTAGTACGCCTCATTTTTTCGTGAATCTTAAATTTCTTTTAATTTATTCAATCCAAGAGAAAAACAAGGAGAAGTGCACGGGAAAAAAGGAATATACACAAATCAATGTAAAATAACAGCGTGAATTGGTTCCATTCATGCATAAAATTAGTTGTATAATATGCCAAATTATTCATTTTGTTAGCAGTTTAGTTTAGTTCGGTTCAGTTATTTTCATTCATAACTAACTAAGAAAATATTACATATTAATGGCTTTCATACAATAATAATATAACAATAGTTGATAATAATTATTACCGTAAAAATTTGAGATTTACGCTCTTCCTTAACATATAATCTTCTCTAGGAAAACCCAAAAAATAATAGAGAAATGTTAAAAAGATTCTCTATCAGCTTATGTTTTTTTTCGCACAATATTTTATAACGTTACCGTGGAAATTAACGTTAAGCAGTGAGGTAACAGAGAGTCCACACTTTGAGAGAATATTTCTCAAAAAAATATCCAAGAAATAAATAGATTATTATTTTCAATAAAAATAAATAAATAAAATGTGTGTCCTGACTGTCTCTAACCTGAAAGGCTTAAACACAACTATTAAGCTTTCCTTTCTCTTTGCTTGAGAGCATTTCTCACTGTCTTGTGTGAGTGTTTGCAATTTCGTCACTTTTCGTTGTCGCTGATCCTAGCTCCGGTTGGGGTCGGTGGCAGTTTCTTCTCTGTTTGTTATGTTTTCCCTTTGCTCCTTTTCTAGTTTGTTCTCCACAATTCTTTGGCATCCCTTTTTCTAAGTCATTTCCAATTCGATTTGTAGTCACTTTTCATCGCGATTCGTCGTGATTTATCGAGTCGGTGTATCGAATTCCGGTGTTCTCATTGGTTCGTTGCATGTGGATCTCCACAGGCTTCAAGGGTGGTTTTTTCCAGCTTGTGGTTGCGATTGAAGAGTTGTTCTCAGCTGATAGAGGCAATCAGAGTGGGGATGCTTCGTTGGAAGCGTGGAAGCGGGCTGCTGGATGGGATTTACTGGTGTGCAAAAGGCTGCAGCAGAGATCTAGGTTGTTCTCGGTTTTTCCAGTTTGGGCTCAACCTTTGGTTGCGCTTTTTGTGTTTTTTGGGTTGGTCCTTTTTGGTTTGTATATTTTGTATGCGAGTCAGTAGTTTGTAAATTTGTGTTGTATGTTTAATAAAGTTTCATACCTTTAGTTGAACATAATAAAATAAATAAATAAAAGGCTAAATCCCCTTAGGCCATCTCCAACCGATGGCTGGTCAGATGACTCGTTTTAGCCTTCTAACCCTCCAAGATTCTCCAAGATATTAATATTTTAATGAACAGTACATGGTCATATTTGCCTCCGTCTCCAACCGATGGCTAGAGGGCCAGAGGGCTCGTTTTAGCCATTTCACAAAAAACCGTCTCCAACCGAGGGCCAAATGATCATAGGGCCAAACATAATTTATTATTTAAAAACTACAACTTTAATTCATATTGTTTAATGTTGTTTCATGTTACTTAATTTAATTTAATGTTGTATAATGACTTAGGAAGTTATAAGAAAAAAAAAAGAATTTAAAAAAAAATATGAAACAAATTTTGTGAAATAAAAGTTATAGGAAAAAAAATGGAATTTAAAAAAAATATGAAACAAATTTTGTAAAATAGAAGTTATAGGAAAAAAATGGAATTTAAAAAAAATATGCAATAAATTTTGTGGAATAGAAGTTATAGGGAAAAAATGGAATTTAAAAAAAAATATGAAATAAATTTTGTGAAATAGAAGTTATAGGAAAAAATAGAAGTTATATGAAAAATTTTGTAAATAAAAAATAATAATTAAATTGTAAAAAAAAACAAAAACAAAAACAAATGCAACGGCTACTAGCCGTTGCATTTGAATTTTTTATTAAGAAATCATGTCGCTTATAACCGACAGGAATAACAAAACATTAAAAAAAAAATAGCCAGCCAGCCAGCCAGCCTTCCAGCCCTCTAGCCCTCTCCGATTCCATGGAGCCCTCCCAGATTCCAGAGCACTCTGGCCTAGCCCTCGGTTGAAGACGATTTTCGAACTATTTTCGACCCTTTAGCCCTCTAAACCCTTCGGTTGGAGATGATCTTACTTTTTTACACTTTTGTTATTTGTCCCCCAACCATTCACGTATCCTCCTCTCTATCCTACGCCTAATACTCCCCCACGCGCACGCTAGCGAATCTTACACGTAATATTATATAGATTTTAGTGAGATTTATTTAAAATTTCACTTTTTTTTCCTGCTAACTTTTCTTTTTTGTTTTTTTTTTCCAACTCATCGGCTGGTGCTATCGTGCGCCGCTGGTGGCCGGTGATCCGAACTTGTAACTCTTTTTAAGTATCAATTCTATCAGCTTCTCTCCCGCGGTCATCTCGAATTCCCAACCGCCCCTATAAGCTTGCTCGGAGCCTGCGATTGTGCGGACGGGTTTGTGGTTTGGGGTTTTGACTAAGAAATGGAGTCAACGCTTGGGATTGGGGGTTGGGGACCAGCAAAACCCTGATTTGGGATTCTGATTGGAGCCCTGGAGATGGAGCGGTGAGTATTTTGGTTGGATTTATGGAGGTTTTGTAGGATCGGAGAGTTTGCCTGGGGTTCTTGGTGGATTTTGCTATGGAGCCGAAGGAGCTGAATTTGAACAGAGAGTCTGAAGCTGGCGGCGGCGGCGGCGGCGGCGGCGGCGGCGTTTGTGGCGTCGGTGGTGGTGCTGATGGGTTCATCGACAGGAGCAGGGTGAGGATTTTACTCTGCGATAACAACGAGTACAGTTCGGAAGAGGTTTTCACGCTTCTTGTGAAATGCTCTTACCAGGGTATGAACATATTTTATTTTTGTAAAAGTTCATTACTTTGATCGTATCATCCTATTTGAAGTTTGGAAATTGTTAGAGCTTATCATTTGTTTGGTTGCTAAGAAAATGGAGTGAGAATTGCGAAAGAAAGGCCAAATTTTTAACTTTTTGATGGTCTGAGAAGAAAAAACAAGTTGGAGTTGCATTTTCTGTTGCTTTGTGCTGTTTTTTGTTTTCAATCTACAAAGATAAAGTGCACCGAAATGATCTCAATTACGGTATGTGATAACGTGAATTGTTTGTCGTTGCGGACGTTTGATCGTTTCTATCTTTCTCGAGTTTCCAAATGAATCCTTTAGAGTTTAGATGAAAGATGGTGTGATTATTTTCAAATAAGTAAATTTTTGGGAAGAGTAATGCCAAACACGCCACCAGGATGACCAGGTTTAGGAAGGCCAACATAAAAAGCCAACGCAATAGAAGATGATTTGTGTGCTCAATTCTGACTCTCGATTTCTTTGCTTTACAGTTATTTCCGTGAAGTCTCCTCGACAAGTGATTGATGCATTGAATGCAGAGGGGCCTGATATTGATCTCATACTTGCCGAAGTTGACCTTCCAATGCGCAAAGGCATGAAAATGTTGAAGTACATCACACGGGATAGAGAGTTAAGGCGCATTCCTGTAATCAGTAAGCATGTCTTATCCTTTTACTTCCATTTTCTTTCAATGATAAATGTTTCATATTAAAATTATAGTATTAACCTCACTGCTGAACCTTTTTTTCGGTCAGTGATGTCGGCACAAGATGAGGTCTCTACTGTTGTCAAGTGCTTGAAGCTTGGAGCAGCAGACTATCTTGTAAAGCCTTTACGCACAAATGAGCTTCTGAACTTGTGGACACACATGTGGAGAAGAAGGCGCATGGTTTGTTTGCACGACTTTAATGCTTTTGTTTCTGAACTGTTCTTCGAATTACCCCTTGCTTTATCAAAATCTTTCTCGATAGAAATAAACACAATAGGGATGCCTAGCAAGATAGCAAGTTAGAAATGACCGTCATGTAAGAGTTGATGTTTCATTTGGGCTGTTAGTATCTTTATATGACCCTTTTAGGTGGATGTACCATGTTGGATAGTTCAGAACAAAGCATGCAATCAAATTACTTGGCTTCTCAGCCTTCTCACTTCTAAAGCTAAAGTTCGTACTCTTTTAGTTGAATGTACTTTCGTGTATGTAATACCTCTTTTTTCAAGTTCCTCATCCCTAACTGATGCATATGCACTAGGATACTACTATATCCTCTCAAATTAGTAACTAAAACATTTTTATTTTATGTATTTGGCAGCTTGGGCTAGCAGAGAAGAACCTTATAAATTATGTTGATCTGGTGATATCAGACCCTAGCGGATCTAATACGAACAGTACTACTTTATTCTCGGATGATACAGATGATAAATTGGGCAATCCTGAGACAGGAACCTCAGCTCCCGAGGAAGATAAGGTGACTGTTTACTATTTATAATTTACTTTTTTGAAGATGAATTTTTTTGGTTGGGTAAAGGAGGAGGGGGAGGGCGTCAGGTAGTCGACAGCCGGCACTCCTCAGTTACGTCGAATCCTTATGAAAATGAATTCAGAACGAAATCGCGCAATGGCGTTTTAGGATTCATATAGCCGACCCCACTTAGTGGGAAAAGGCTTTGTTGTTGTTGTTGGATCTAAGATTAACTTAATATTTATTATATATAGAGTTAAGGCATGATCGTTAATTAATTAATTTTATTTTTTAGTCTACTCCTGTTATGGAGCTTCCAGTCGAGAATATATCAGAATTTCGGCCCGATGTTCCAGGAATAAGTGACCGGCAAACTGGTGAGCCACTTGTGACATTGAGAAATTTTGTTGTATCATATGTCGTAACATGTGTTCACTTCAAACACCATCATGTATGGCTAATACTATTGTGTATTCATTCGACTTCACTAATTTGAGTAAAGCAAAAACCTATCTTTAAGGATAATAGTTTTTCAGTATGACATTTTCATCTTTTACACAAATAACTTTTTCCATTTTCTCTGATTATGTTCTTAGGAAAGTTTTTATCTGCCCCAAAGAAGAGCGAACTAAAGATTGGCGTTGGCAAGTCATCTGCCTTCTTTACGTATGTGAAATCAAGCAAACTAAAAATCAATCCTCAGGTGGTTGCACATATTGAAGACATTGCCACTGAAAATTTGAGGATAGAAGAGAAACATGAAGAATGTGTTCACCAAGTGGTTGATGATCCCCAAGTACATGGAAATGGAGAGGCGTGGGAAAGCAACTCACAGGGAGATGACTTGCCGAGCAGTAACAGTATCCCAGATTCTCTTTCTTTGGAGAGGTCTAGTACCCCGTCTGGATCAATGGAACTTCAAAATCAGAGCAGTTTTGAGGAAGACAGATCCTCTCTGGTGCCTGCACATCCAAGAAATGAACCTCAACATGATTTTTCTGGCCTACCTGCCCAAGCCGCCTATCAATATTATATGTCGGGAGCTGTCAATCAAGTTATGATGTCATCATCACCCGAAGTTTATCAAAAGAATCTGCATGACATGCAAAATCATGCTATGATGCCGCAATACAATCATTTTCCACACTGCCCTCCACACCTAAATGGGATGGCTTCGTTCCCCTATTATAGTGTATGCTCGCAACCTGGTCAACAAATGCCGAATGCTCAGCCATGGCCATCATTTGGAAGTTCAGCATCCACTGAAGTGAATCTAAATAAGGTTGACAGAAGGGAGGCAGCATTGATTAAATTTAGGCAAAAAAGAAAGGAGCGCTGTTTTGATAAAAAGATCAGGTATGTAAATAGAAAGAAACTTGCCGAAAGGAGACCTCGTGTGCGGGGACAATTTGTGGGGAAGTTAAATGGTGTAAATGTGGATCTTAACGGCGAGCCTGCTTCTGTTGAAGATGATGAGGAGGAGGAGGATGAAAAGGATGACGAGGAGCTTGCATCAAGGGATTCCTCCCCGGAAGATGGTGCTTCTTGATAATATTACCTATATGGATGAGTGGGGATTTGTGTTGCATGGTTTAATTGAAGTATACTGGGTGCATCGTCGTATTGGTTGGACATTGATCAAGGGTTCAAGCTACTGGTTCTATTTCAGTAATCAAAGATCAGATCATCGTAAAGTATCCCGCTGTCCATCTTCTTGAGTTACAGAATAGCCCAACAGACACTCAGTGTAGAGCTCTTGAGGTCGGGAACCTTTCATCCTTGATTCATCCATGTCCGAAATCCAAACCGGAAATGGGCTCATCTTCCGAATTTTTCTGTCAAGAAGTTTTAGATTTAAACAATGACTTAAACAGGAGAACGGTGTTTTCTCTTCTTGTTAGTATATGGAATTTTATGGTAATCGAGATATCATACTTCTTTTGTTCTGTTTCCTTAATTTTTGTGAAAGTTTTGAAGATTTCTTGTGCCTCTTACCTTCTTTGATGTAAAAAGTATCGTTTGCAGAACAAAAGAAAGACACAATTTGTGACTTCCCGAAAGGAGGCCTCTGTGCTCCCCCAATCACTGATGAAAATATCGATAATGCACATAAGGGGATTCGAACTCCTCCCATCTAACTCCTTCAGCGCCTTGACCACCATACCACTTACGTTTTTGTGAAAACATGCTAAACTATTTGTATATATGGTTTTGTTTTGAATTCTTTTTGCAAGAAACAAATTTGCACATATTCCAAATTTTTTGTGGTATTATATTTTAAATTGTGTCAATTAATTACTTAGTCAATGGCATGTGGTTTTTAATTTTTTAATTTTTTATTTGGTCACTTACATGTATGGTTGGAAAAAATTCCCAAAAATCCCAAACCAAACCGAAAAAGTCCCAAACCAAAACTATCCCGAAAAATACCGAAATTTTCGATATGGGATTGGTTTCCAAATCCCATTTGTTTGGTAATCCCGAAATCCCGAAAAATACCGAAGTATTCGGTTTCCTATTGACTTTTGGGTTTCGGTGCTTGAAAGCCATTGTCATGGTTTGGTATTGTTGTGCTTTGAAAAAAAGCTGCTGTGAGAATAAGCGACTGTGAAATAAATCAGCAGAGTGTTTGGTAAACTTTTTTGTAAAAGTGCTTTTGGAAAAAAAAGCAGTCTGATAGTGGGGGTCTTTTCATTAAAGGAGCACTATAGTTCTGTGTGCTTTGAAAAAAAACTAGTTTTCCAAAGCTACAAATGGCAGCTTCAGCTTTTTCCTTTGATTTCAGCTTATTCTCACAGCAGCTTCCAAAATAAGCCCCTTTTTTTTAGTTTACCAAACACCAAAAACACTCCCAGCTTTTTTTCATAGGAGCTTTTTTTAAAATCACCTCAACCCCAAACTGGGGCTTACTCTACACATAGAGATGATGAAGATAGTGAAAATTTTGAACATCATAGGAACTCTATGTGGTACTTAGTCACTCATGTATCTTACCATGCAATGTATAAAGTGTAAAATATTGTACTAATTCATTATATATAAATGATTATGGTGTGTTTAAACTTCTTTCATTAATTACTACATATTTTCTACACTCACAATGTTTGCCAGCTCGCTATATAATTAACTTAAATCAGTTAAATCCATCATGCAATGCATTTCATTCCAATTTTTTGTGATAAACTAATAGATAATTGACTAAATAAACATCCTGCAAAGTTTCAATAAAAATTTCCAAGTTTTTCTTACAATTTCCGTGGTTTCCATGTAATTTTTATCGATATCGATATTATCCCGATATTTCCATCGATATTTCCGTGTTTTCGGACTACCGATATTAACGATATTTTCTTCCTTGCCCCCAATACACGGTCTACTCTGTTTTCTCCGGCCATCTCCGGCCATGCTGTTCGTCTCAAACGAATCCATGGCTGCTTTTCATTCGTTCTAACACCAAATTTTGCAAGGATATAACGAAAAGACAACTCTGTTTGCCCTTTTGCCCGAATCAACCAGAAGCAATATCCAATAACATACACACCAGTATCAGAGTGAAATTCCAGACAAACATTAGCTAGCGCGTAATCTTAAGATAAAGGATAAACAAGATTGCAACGGCAAAAACTCCGATGATGGAGCCGACAATCCATTTGTTCCTGTTCATACTCCTCGTCATGGCGGTCAGCACCTTCTTGCTCTTGCTGATACTTTCATCCGCCCCGCGGAGCTGCCAACACATAGAAACGAAATTAGGGTGACCACCTCGACAATCTCATTTTCTCGTTAGCCTAATTCATCGGAGATTATCTAATGTAACCGTGGATATATCCCCCTCGTCCTATATCTCTCGCCACGTAAGCAACAAGCATATGCTTTCCAGGGCAAATGACACAAAGCAAAAGGAGGTACAGGCATAACAGACATACTGTATTGTGAGCATGTAGAAGTGACTGGCGTTGTTGGTGCAAATCTTGGAGGATTGAGACCCCAAGCTCCTCGGTTTCCAGCATTGCTCTTCTACTCTCCTTGATTCTGTCCGTCGACTGATTTAACCTGTCAGTCGTCATCAACAATCTTCCTCGTTGATCATTCGATGTCTGTCACACAACCAAAACATCCTATGAACAAGAAATCTTGACAAGCTAACACGCATAGAGAGAGATAAGGTATAGAGATGATGCATAACCGTCAAGGAATCTGCCGATCCGGGCTCCAACAGTTCATCCCGAGCTGCGAATTCACGACAGGTGATGCCATTCTCTTCAGTTGGCTCTTCAAATTGTTCAAATCAGCCTTGTATCCTCTTAGCTTAGCAAGAAGAGCTGCCTTCACACTTGGCTGCAAACTCCTTGCCTCAAGGTCCATATTCCTAAGCTGGATAAGTTTTCCAACATGGCATAAAGCATCAATCTAATGTCATAAACAGAAGAAAACTTGGGTACGGTTGCTACACCACAAAATCCGTAGAGCACCTCTTGACCCTCTGTGTTTTGGTTTCACCATAGCCTACGTTGGTCTCATATGGTGTGAGAGCTGCCCTAATCAGACAACCTTACTAAAGTTTTTCTACATAAACACAACAAACATGAAACATCTAAACCATGGATTTTAACTGGAGTTAGTGCCATACCAAAGTATCTGCATCCTCAAATCCAGCTTTTACCTCTGCAATTATCTGATTCTTTTTCTCTGCAAAGCAAGAATTCACATAAGCACCACCTTTTATGTACATTCTAAAGTCTCTCATAAGCACCACCATGTTACAAATTTTCAAAGGGGTGTGCTATCCACACCATTTTTTACTTCTCACACACCTTTTGTTAATTTCTGTCCGTTGATCTTCTTCAATTCATCCGATCCGATAATCGAAAATTAGAAAGGTGTGTGAGAAGTAAAAAATGGTGTGTGGATATCACACCCCATTTTCAAATTGAACCAAAAAATAAAAACAACAAACAAATGCATGATGAATCCAACCAATACACTATGCTTGAATTTTACAATTCAATGTTGTTATTGCACCCGACATTAACAGTTGACCGCTAAGGAACCCGAATGCATGTATCATGCATCATATTCCTATCAAACACAAAAACCCACAAAAAAAGAAGTAAAAAGCACATGCATTTTTTTTTTTAGAGATATACTGTTCTAGCCAACTACTCTTATTTATCATGAACGAGAACCTAAAAAGGTAAAAAAAGTTTAGAATTACTGCTTTTGCCAACTGACATAATTTACGCTATAAAATGTAGTTCCTGAAAACAAAAGAAAAGGAGAATTAAAAAGCACAGAACAATTGCAATTCATTATTCAGAGATTTTACCACATCCTCCATCCACGGCGGTGGCAGCCGTGCACTTGCTTGAGAGATTGGCTGAGAGCTCGCAGTATTGGCGCTCGTACCCCTCAAACACCTCACTCATCCTTCTCGATCTCGATTCCACCGCCTACCCAATTCTCCTCGATCCGATTAGTGCCTAAATTATTAAACTTTTTGTTAATCAAACTCTGAAAATTGAACCAGTTTTCAATTTCGGAAAAACTGATGGAATTGGAGCTTTGCATGGCTGCGAGTTTGCGAATGTTCCCATTATGCCCTTGGTTGTTGCGTTGGATCACGTACAAAGGACGGGTATTGACGTGTCGTTACATACATGGATATATAATATTCTGTTTGGTGTCAGGTAGCAGGGGATGTTGGGGATGAGCTTTTTATAATGCACTCCAATTGTTCGACGGATTTCCTCAGAGAAAATGCGTTCCGTATTGGTATCGAAATGGCAGCGGCTTTTGCTGCAGAATGCAGTCAGTAGTCGGAAATCTCAACGCTTTTTTGTGTTTTTACTCCTCGACAGAGCGCCACCCGAGCTGCAAGAGCTGTGTAGTATTGTTTCGGGTGCAATTGGCGGTCTGGATGATTTGGAATCGAGCCTAAATAAACTTACAGCTTCCTTAACATCATCGCTTGTGACCCAAGTAATCGATTCTTGCAAAAATGAAGCACCCACTAGAAGATTGCTAAGGTTTTTTTCCTGGTGTCATAAGAATTTGGGTTATGGTTTGTAAGAGAAGGATTACAATTTTGGGATTCGGGTTTGAGGACCACACGGCAATGAACATTGTACTCTCTGATATTGTGAAGGCGGGCTGCGCAATGGCAGCTTAAACTTTGGTGAAGTTGGGCAAGGAAGATGAGGCATTTGGGTATGTTTAAGAACTTGGACAAGTACAAGTGACCTCAAGACGGTGTTACAGTCACTGCCAGTGTCAATGCGCTTTGCGCTTGAGGGCACGTTAAAAGAGCAGAAGGGGTTGTTTTGCACCACAGGGATAAGATTGCCGGTATAGAGCCTTGCATTTATAAGTCTTTTGTATGGATGGTCTGTGCAGGAGAATGTGAAGGAAGCAAGAAGAATCATCAAAGAAATGAAGTCGATTGGGATTATGCCAGACTTGTTTTGCTACAACACATTCCTTCGTGGCCTTTGCGTGAGAACTTTAAGCGCAGTTCGTCTGGACTTGTTCCCGAAGAGCTAAATGTTATGATTGAGATGAGGTCTTATAGCATTTCTCCAAATTCCATTAGTTACAATATATTGCTTTCTTTTTTGGGAAGAACAAGAATCAAGGAATCTTGTAACATTCTTGAGACTATGAATAACAGGTTGCTCTCCGGATTGCATTGGCTATTACCTTGTTGCAAGAGTGTTGTATTTGACCGGAAGATTTGGTAAAGGAAATAAGATGGTGGATGAGATGCTTGAACAGGGCCTACAACTGAATTGTAAGTTCTAATATGATTTGATTGGTGTACTCGTAGGCAAGGAGAGACCACTCTGGAGCTTCTTCAAAGGATGAAGGCAAGCGCATTAGGTGTATATTGTCCGGTTTATGACGTGCTGATTCCCAAGTTTTGTAGGGGAGGGAACCTTGAAAAGGGTAGAGAGCTTTGGGATGAAGCTGTATCTATGGGCG